AATCTATTATGAAGGTAAAATGAAATTGTAGGTGTGCTGTTGTTTATTTATATATTTATTTACATATACATATATATATTAAAAGCATAGTATAATATAAATATAAATATTTATTATATAAAAACAAAACAAATAATAGTTTTCCAAGTATTTCCAAGTGAAATATCCTTTAAGTTTATCACTATCAATTATAAATAAATGTTCTTGCGAGGTCAGGATCTGCCATTCAACTCTGTGGACCGAAGCCATATTGTGGATTAATTTGGTGTACAACTAGGTCTCCGATTGATAAATGATTTTCAGCCTAAAAAAGTCGCTACTGGCGCGACATTCCAGGTAAGCGTCAAGCTAAAGAATTGATTCGCCCCCACAGTTATGGTAAGGTATCCTTTCTCAGCAGAACAAAGTTGAGGTTTAATTTTGTTATTAATTTTTTGAGTTGTTACGTCGAAATTTTTATTAAAATCTGTTTTGTTTTTTAAGAATGTTAACTTTTATTTCGTGCGTTATTTTTTAGTATAATTCTATACGTATTTCGGCAAATTCGCTTTTGCCTTCATCAGGAGGATTCCTAATATTAAAAACATCTATGCAACTTACAAGCTATTTATACTTATTACAGGTCTTATAATTTAAATCTAATTGGTAGGGTTATTGTTGTTTTTGTCCTTGAGGGTGTTAGGTAAAAAATGGTGGGATGGGTTAGTTTTTGTTGTTCAGGCTTAATCATGCGCAGGTAGTTCGGTCAACTGGTTGGATAAAAAAAAAATAACGCACGAAATAAAAGTTAACATTCTTAAAAAACAAAACAGATTTTAAAGTTGAGGTTGCTGATGGGATATTTAACGGGTCATAATGGACTGCGTTAATGCCTTAACAAAATGGGTCAGTCCGAATAGATAGATTGTCGACTTTGCTTAGAAGCAGACGAAACTTTCAGTCACATTTTCTGTGACTGCCCAGCCTTGATCTGGGTCAGGAGGAGATCACTGGGTTGAGAACTACTCTCCCCTTCTGACATTAGGAGGTCCTCAATGGCTGACACTCTGGCTTTCATTCAGAAGGCAGAATGTCTTCTGTTCGGTTACGGTCTGTTGCAGCACAAAAGATCAACCATGGTCGCTGTAATACGCTCGCTTGGGAGCTCATACCCTGTTTATTTCTATTCTATAACTAAATGTTGTTGTTGACTATATAGTAGACTATTGATTATCCCAAAGAAATCATATACTCAACTGATGTGGGATTATTGAGATGGTAGGATAATTTATTTGAAGTTTTTTTGAGAGAATTTAAATTTTAAATAAAAATGCTTCTACAAATTTAATGGAATTGAGATACAAACTTTTTTCAAAAACTAAATTTGGTACAAAAGTGTAGATGGTCGAGTAAATTATAAATACGGTGTTCGTATTCGGTTTTACGAACTATTAGGAGAATCTGAGTGGATTTTTAATCGGATAGTAAACGAAGTCTCTGGAGTAGGAATAAAAATTAGAGTCTTTTTTTAAATCCGATGTCTTCGAATGTCCGGATTTACGATTATTATTCGTAGTGCAACTATTCGAAGACTTCGTGAGCGAAAGTTAAAGCGAGAGCACAAAATGCAAATAAACGTGAATCACAGAAATAATAGAATTTGTTGTTGCTAATGCGATTTGGTGCGTCCGATATTTATTGTTTGTTTTATTTTACTTTATTTATTTTCTTTTATTTTATTACATTTTTTAATAACTAAATAACAAATTTACATTTTTAATAACTTGTATTAGTATTTTAATTTATATTAAAGAAATTATATTAATAAAAATTATAAGTTATGTGTTAAATAAACGACCTAAGCCCGATAAAAAATATAAAAATTAAAAAAATTAAGACTCTTATATAAAATATACAATTAGCTTTATTATAAATGAGTATTGGGCTATCAGTCAGATTTTGTAATTTGGTTTTTTTAATAAAAAATTTTTCTTATTATTTTACTTATTTAATATTTATTTCCGACGTTTCGGTTTTTTAAAACCATCATCAGGGAAAAAATTTTAAAACAACTGAATAGAATAAAATTTTTATATAAAAAATATTTTTGACAAATGTTTTAAATAATTACAACGGAGAAAATACAATCAGTTTATCTTAAGAATGATTTTTCTAGCAATGCACAGTAAACAACAGAAATATTTTCTATATCTCGCCGCAAATTATATGTGGGTTTAGTCATTATATGTAAGGACTCTCAGCTTGCAATCTATTTGAACACCATATTGAGCAAAATTGTACATAAGAAATATGATATCACAAATAGTGTAGAAGCTCGAGAAAAATTAACTAACATTATTGTTGAAAATGATGAAGTTCTCGCTTCTTTTGATGTGATTTCACTTTTTCCAAGTATTCCAATGGATTTAGTGATTAGACTATTAGAAACCAAATGGCATCTTATCCAACAATATACAACCATGCCTCAATACCTTTTTTTAAAAATTATACATTTTGTACTAATTGATTCGACATATTTTTTGTTTAAAAGAGATATATACAAACAAATTAATGGATGTGCTATGGGCTCAAATATTTCACCTACCATCGCCAACATTGTTACAAATGAAATCTTTGATGTGACAATTCCCAAATTATCATTTAAACCTAGAATTGTTTTAAAATATGTTGACGATATTTTCACCATTGGGTCAAAAGATAAAATCCTTGAATTTCTACAATTATTAAATTCATTTCACAATCGCATACAATTCACTGTTGAACATGAATTTAATGGAAAACTTCCCTACCTAGATTTATTAATATCTAAGAAAAATAATCGAGAACTAGCAATTGACTGGTACCAGAAAGATGTATTCTCAGGTAAAATTCTTAACTATTTATCACACCACCCACGACAACAAAAAATGAATGTGATTTACAACCTTTTTTTCCGCATTTTTTCTATAAGTGACAAAGAATTTTACGTTACTAACATTAATAAAGCTTTCAACATTTTGTCTGATAATAACTATCCTCGCAAAATGATTGTTAGTCAACTACATCGAGTACGTCAACATTTTCAACTTTCAAGAACTAATCACCATGAGCAGAGTATACAAATTCCTATGATTAGAAGATCGATGATATATATAAATGACCTATCAGTTAAAATTGCTAAGATTATCGAAAGGAAAGTAGACAATTTAAGAATATCCTTTAAACCATTTGCACAAATTCAAACAACTATATATACCAAACTGAAAGATCGTATTGAAACGAACAACATTATTAATTGCATCTATGAAATTCCATGCACTGGAACTGATAATAATGGTCAAAAATGTGAACTCTGCTATATTGGCCAAACAAAAAATCAATTACATAAAAGAATAAGTCAACATAAAAATAGTCTAAAACAAATTAATCCGGATAAACAATCAGCTTTAGTCTCACACTTTCTTGATGTAAATCATTACCCAGATTTTACTTCAGTGAAAGTCATTGATACTGAACCTTCCTTGTCTCGACGTCTTACCCTAGAGTCCTTACATATAATGACTAAACCCACATATAATTTGCGGCGAGATATAGAAAATATTTCTGTTGTTTACTGTGCATTGCTAGAAAAATCATTCTTAAGATAAACTGATTGTATTTTCTCCGTTGTAATTATTTAAAACATTTGTCAAAAATATTTTTTATATAAAAATTTTATTCTATTCAGTTGTTTTAAAATTTTTTCCCTGATGATGGTTTTAAAAAACCGAAACGTCGGAAATAAATATTAAATAAGTAAAATAATAAGAAAAATTTTTTATTAAAAAAACCAAATTACAAAATCTGACTGATAGCCCAATACTCATTTATAATAAAGCTAATTAAAAAAAAGTCAGCATACATATGTAAAAATTTCACAATATTAAAATTTATGCATTTACAAATATATTATTTTTATTATTTTATTAGTTATAGGAATTTTGTAAAAGTTTTCATTTTTCGTTTTTACAATTAAATGAAATTACAAATTAAAATTAATTATGGAAAAAAAGTTAATTAATTATATGATATATAAATGACCTACGATGATCACACAGGTAAGCACAAATTCTTATATGCACAATAAAATTTAGATTCTTTTGTTATCATTACTATTGTTATTACGATTTACTACTCAGGAAGATTACTTCCTTCATCTAGCTTAAATTGTAGAGGCAGTCTTTCATAATTCTATCATTCGGATAAATTGAATAAGGTGCTTGGCTTTGAAAGTCTCGAAGGTACTCTAGAATTATGCGAAACCCAACGTATTTTTGTTTCTCTTGAAGAATTAGCAAAAATTGCAGAAATACAATTTATAAAATTGTAATGTTAATAAATTTAACATTAGGCAAAAACTATTTGTATACTTTTCCATTTCATCAGTCAAATTCGGATGATGTAAACTTAAAAAATACTTAAAAAACTCACACGAAAAATATTTTTTCTGAAACACAATTTTTAAAATTAAGGAAAGTAAATTAAATTTAGTTTAGGAATATTGTGCATTATTATTTTTCATAGAAATATAACTTATTAGTTTAATCGCATAAGATCACAGAAGTCTACAGATATTATGATGTGATATTTATATTTGTTTCACATATTAAATTAAAATTAAAAATTTTTTTATTAAAAATTTTTTCGACTATATATGAGAATGATATTTTTGCAATTGTTTTTTATAATTGGTTAAGTTGATAGAGACTAAATATTATTTTTAATCTGATTCATATTTTTTTCCAACTCAAGTTATAATTATCTACTAAGCAGATAATTTAACAAGTAAATTGCGTTATTTTATAAGATTAATTGACAACTTTACAGTCGTAGCGTTAATCTTAAATCTGACTTAAGTATGAATTAAGTCAACAAAGTTGATGACTTAAGCATGACTTAAGTCTGTATTGACACTTAAGTTACGATTGCGAAATCAGCTCCGAAAGTTAAATATATTTTAGAAATACAACAAAAACAATATGTAAATATATGTACTCAATTATTAATTTTTTTATTAATATTAATATTTTATATTACGTTATTCTTATACAGCTCTACATAACAATATAAAATGTATTATTTATTTGCCTTCTGCAAAAGCTAATCTAGTCAGTTCATTAGCAAACTTTTCCATTAATCTCATCGAATCTTTCTCTTCCATATGAATTAAAGAACAGGCCACAAAATTTCCAAATGCCTTGTACTTTGTTTTTGAATAAGGTTTTTTGTTATCATTTCGGATCTTAAGCTGAGAGCAAAGATTCGGTGTAGAATTTCCATTAACATCGTTGGAAATATTTAATTTTTGTGCAATATGATATCCAGGTAAATTAGATCCCCGTACTTTAATAGACTGATTTCTAAAATAAAATCATAGACTTTATAGTGTTATAATAATAAAAATAATATATATAAAAAAATTACAGGATGTGATTGGAAACATTAACATTTTTTTTATATATGGCAAAATAATATAAGTAAATACATATGCTTACTGAATTGATTAACATAAATAACTTACAACTATTATAGTACATATTTCATTGATTTTAAATTAATATTTTCTAGTTGAATTACATTATCATTAAAAGAAAAATTAGTCCAATTGATCTTTGGACTCATCCTCTTGATGTAGCTAGGTTTTTTCTTCTGAATCCGGGTTGTTTTCTATTACAATCCCACACATCCTTTATCCTCTTTTCATCCTTTCTTTTTCCCACTACTATTACCCCAAACACCACCCCTCCACATTGCAATCCATGAATGCGTCTTGTAATCTTTACATGTTATCTGCTTTTAGATCCCGGCGGGTTAGAACAACATTTTAGGTTCTCGAAATAAATTGTGTGAGTTAGAATATGCCGACATTTGAATCTGACTTTTATTTCGGATCAATAAAGTCCTTTTTACTTGCAAATTACAAATATGTATTTTGAATGTGAGAAGATTGGACTAATATTAAGTCTAAGAATAAATGCTAATAATGCTTCATCGTTCATCATTTAAAGAAACTGCATTTGGTACTCATTGCAGTTTCTTTACTCATACAATTTGAGTACTAGGCTGGCACTGTTTCAGCTAACGAATGAATTTAAATGTTTGTCAAGTTTTTAGCATTATTATCTTATTTAAGCTGCAAATATTTCATAACAGATGTCTTTATCAAATCCTAAAATTAAGATGACATAAAACCATTGGCAAGGCACGCTTATGGAACAAAAAGCAAAATGGAATGCTGAAATGACATCTACAAGGCAAGGATGGCACAGAATAAAATGGAAAATAGTGATCAGAGAAATAGGAAAATTGATAAGTGGAGGAAAACGGTAATAGAGCGGAACAAAAATAATTGTGTTATGTTTTAATAATAATAATAATAATAATAATAACAATAATAATAATAATAATAATAATAATATGAAAAATAAGAATGAACCTATTTATATAATGATTAACAATTACTCAACTTTGCTTAAAAAAATTTTTCAAAACGGAAATTAACAAAAAAGATTAATTAAACAATAATATTAATTATACTTACTCAGATGAGGGCATGTTTTGATAATCATCATAATCACTATAATAAACAAATATAATATAGAAAAAATATTAGTTTCTACATGTGTGTGTGTGTGTGTATAAAAGATTTACCTCACTTCAGCTAGTGTTCCGTTATTATTAATCAATTGCACGGGGGCATTCGCGAGTCTTGACTTTATGTGTTGTCCCAAAAATGATAAATGTTCAAAAAGTAACCATGTTGATGGTACACCTGTACTTTCGACGCGCCGTTTTTCTAAGTAATAACGACTTCGTAATGTGTTAAGCCTTTCTTTAATAATACCGACTACAAACAATATGTTATTTTTTAAGTATAATTTCATAAAAATATCTCCTACCAGTACTGTGTAATTTACACGCCATATCAATCCACTGTTCTTCTACGAAATCACGTTCTCGATAGTGCTGATGAGTTCGATCGTAAAACACTGGTCGTCTTTGATATTCCTGAACTAACAACATGTCTGCTTCTTCAATTTCTTGTGGCTCTTCTCTTCGGGGACGTCCTCTCCCGCGTTTTACAACAGTCGTCATTGTTTTCAACTAAAAAAAGTAAATCATATTATAATCACATTTCAAGAAGTCGTTAAATCTAAATCTACCTAATAATTTACAAACAGTTCCACGAAATCTTTGCTTATTCCACACAAATTTTATTCACTTCTGCTTTCTATTTAGCAATACAAAATGATTTACAGGACTGTTTTTTTTATTTGACACAAACTTAACTATTGTGATTCTGAATTGAGAAGTTAAAATAGATACGTGCTAGCAAAGAACACATGACAAGAAGAAAAAACTTTATTGTGAATTTACAAAATTTCCATTACAAAATTAACAAACTATAATTGAGTATTTAATGCAAAACCAAACAGCAGGTAAAAAAAACAAAAATTTCAACCATTGAAATGCAGATGACTTAGCATTTACACAACAAATGTATCTAATACAAACTTGAAAACGAGTGAGGGGAAGAAGGAAAGATGTTCTTGCTAGGTAGTAATTGCGCACTAAGCACAAGGGGTTGTATCCAAAATTTTAGAGCGCAATTAGAGAAAAAACATGGACGATGTCCACATAAAGGGCCTGCCAGCAATTGTGGAGTATTGTATTTCATACTATTAAGTTGATAAGAGATTGATAAACGTTGTTGAAATATTTTTAGTTTTGCTTTAGGCAGTCAACCAACTACCTTTGGAAACTATACAATTGAATTATTGAATTTATCGTCGCGGATGTTGAAGTTGGAAAACAAACAACAAACAACTTATAGACATGACAACGAAGCTTAACACACAATTTCAGCAGAAGACCGTTTCAGCAGAAAGTAGATGTAAAAGAAGTTAAGGAAAATCTGCGCACACGTTCAATAAAAGATCAATTGAAGTTTTCAATATAGTAGACAATAAAAATAAAAAAGCTGAACAAAACAACTAAATATTCATGACTGACCGTTCACTTTATAATGAGCTCATTTATGCAGTTGATAGAACTTTTATGAACATTGTTTGATATATCACACAATAAAATTATATATATAATTGATATAATAAATCATTTATATACACTTTTTTATATCAATTACTTATTCAATTAAGAGAAACAAAGATTTTATTAAATACTTACTTCCTTAGTTACTTTCTTGTTTACAGCTTAGCTGTTGTTTGTTTATATTTTACTTATAAAACACATGACATATTTCAAATTTTGGTGATTTTCCTTGTACGAAATTCTTTTTAAGGATTCCATTCGACACTGTTCGCCTTAAATAAGATAATTTATTGATAATAATCTTTATTTTATATGAAAGATTTGTGTGGTGGTTCATCTTCATTAGTGGCTATAATGAGCAAAAACGCCTAACTGACACAGTGTAAATGTGCTATTACCTATTATTTGTTTTTTTTTGTTTATTTATATATTGTTTCAAGTGTGAAATATATCAAATTTCACTGATATCCCTTTTGTCAAATATATTTTGTAATGTTGCATTCGATACTTTTGATGTAATTGCAAAATGAAGTGAGCTGTCAGTGTCCAATTTTAATTTTGTATTGAAAGCAACAACGGTTAGTGACAGTGATTGCAATCATAAGGAGCTATTCACAATGAAAATTTGAGACTTACAGCTAGAGAACAAAATTAAATGAGTACCCAGCCACGGTGACAACTCTACAGATTAAATCACTAAATCATTAGGGTTGTACGGTAATAGTACGTTTCTACTACGTACTTAGTAAGCTTCATTTACTGAGTAAATTACATTAGCCATACAGAGCTTCCGTGCTTTTTCATTTACTATACAATATAGTAAACAAATTCGACTAAAATTATACCAAATATGACGAATGCAACATTGGAAATGATCGAAATTTGACATATTTGACACATGAAACAAAATGTAAACATAAACAAACATTCAAAATTCAAAACAAACAACAGGTAAGAATTTTTTTAAACATTTGTTTCTTTATAAATAAAATATATAATTAATACATAAAAATAAGTTTATTTATTAAATATATATTTAATATAATTGTAAAATTTGGTATATTATTTAATAAAAATTATTTATTTCAGGTTAACATTAGAAAAGCAATAATTGAGTCTCAAAAGTTTGATTTATAAATTTGAAATTGTGTTTAATGTAAAACAAAAAAATATTACCCGGAATGCGTGTGGAATCGTAGAACTATAGGAGGAAAATCTTCTTCGATGAAAAAGGTGAAACAGGTTTTATGGTAACCGCATCTGAAGTGCAAACGAAAGTGCACTTCACCCAACATTTTAGGTAAGTGTTCAATAAGTGAAATTTCTATTATATCAATACTTTTTTGTAATTAAAGCCACATAATCTTTTACGATTAATATTAGATGTTTTATTTAATAGTTAATGTTATGTTAACTACTTTTCTCTTTTATTTTAAAATAGAAAAAATCAGCAATGTATTGTGGTTTTCAACAGAGGCTCCGTCATCGTGGAAGTTTGTCAATAACGTGAATAGAATTTTGGAGAACTTGCATATTGACTACACCTTCGAATTAATTTCTGTTAGTCATCCTCACCGTTACTGTCAGCATCGTCAACATTATCATCAACATCCTTGAAGTCAAAAAAGAACACACCTACAATGAAAAGAAAAATCAATGATAACCGACTATATTTTTTTATTTTTATTTTTAATATATTATAAATTATTAAAATTATAAATGTAATAATATAAATTTTTTATAAATTTTGTAATTATATATAATCTAATTATATGAAAAATATATAAGTACATATTTTTTGTTGTTTTTATTTTTAATTTATAAGTTATAAGTGTTATTATTAGCTATTAGTTAAAATAAAACTTACTGAAAATTTGAACTAAACATCGCCTTATTTCTTTTCTATTTGGATTGTGGTTGTTTAGTGTTCAAACTTATTTTGAAGCCCCCTGTTGTCTTCTCAGAACCGACATACGGATTTCATTTTTATCTAAAATAGCAATGCAGTAAAATTTTATTCTTTATTTAATAATATTTACTGCCCGTTTTTAGTTATCATTGAAGATGTTTTGATTTTGAATAATTTGTAATTTTTTGTTTTTTTGTATATGCAGCAACTGCCGCTTTTATATTAGGAAAATATTACAAACATTATATATTAAATTATTTAAATTTTCTGTCTTTTCTTCCATGCTGATTTATTTTCTTCTAAAAATACAACATTTAATATCATCTGTTTACAATTAAAATGTAAACACAGAAAAGTTCTAAAACTAGAACTTTTTGACACATAAAAGCTTTTTCCCATTTCTTAAGTAACTCATGATAATGTAAACGCAAAAAGCTCAATGTTACTATATGACTTACTAAGTACGTAGTGGAAACGTAGTATAACATATTTTTTAATATTTTGTGAATTTTTTACAATTTGCAAAAAGTACTGATATCAGCTATGATTTCTCAACAAATTTATTTCAAAGAATTGAAAATTTCGTCGAAGAATTAAAAAGTTGTCAATAGGCTTTAGTACAACAAACAAAGTAATCAAACAACTTAAAATGCTTGAATTAATGGAACTTAAAATACAAAGTGTGAAGTTTTAAATATTTTTCATTTAATAAAACCGACGTTTCGAAGTTTTGTTGACTTTTTTCTGGGCATATGAGTTTGATGATTTTCATTTTCATTGTGAAAAATTGAATCGATGTTTAATACACGTCCAATTAAATTTAGAGTCGTGTTTCGAATTATATAATAAGGATGTTGATAGTTTAATTTAAATTATGGTCCAATGTTTGTAGGTTTTTTAATACCAATTTATTTTAAGTTAATTTTTTTGTTTAATTACTAATGCATCAAGTTTTGGTAGTTTTTCAAATTCTTTTTCTTCTTTAGAAAATTTTATTTATCTATATATTCAGGCTATATAACGCATTTAGTGTACTTTCTATGTTGACAATTTTTATAACAGCACATAACCCATGCAATTCACACTTTCACGTCCATCGTGCTACCTAGGCAACGTGAGCAACGTATAAGCGAGATAAGTTAACCAACCTATGTGGAGCTCTAGGTCACAGCAAACGAGAGAATGAGTCTTGGTGGGGCCATTTCGACATATTCGATTTAAGGGTTCGCCGAGATTTAGCAGCTCATCAACACCTCGCTGCAGTAGGCGTCTGACTTGTATTAAGCGGTTCGCTGTATAAATGTGTTCATTTGGAGTCCTTGGGCCCATCACCCATCTTGATAATCAGAAACCTTGATAATCAAATATGAAAGAATACAACAACGTTAATATTACTGCAGGGGGCATAGTATGATAAATCCTTCGGCAGCAGGCACAAGGATTTTAGAGCTGTCAAATCCATGTACGAGAATCATGATGAATGAAAAAAACACTATTCAAAAACGTCGTATAAAACGACCAAATATCGGAATAAAAGAAAGTATAAAATTCGGCATGTGGAACGTAAGAACACTTACTGAAGACGTAAAACTAAACAAACTTCGGAAAGAAACGGCAGGCTACAACTTAGATCTATTAGCTGTGCAGGACTGCAGGAGAACCGAGCATGGCCAAATCAACAACGAAAATACTGTTTTCATCTATTCAGGATAATCATCATCAACACCCTCAACATCAACAGCAGGATTTCTTTGGAATATTTTAGAGAAACGACAAATTCCAGCCAAAACGTTTTGGCTTTTTCTTAACACTTCTAGCTAATTTTCTATTTTAGTAGGTTTAGTCCATGATTGTTAGTTTAAAATATTGCTAGTTGTACTAAAAAGGCAATTGCTAGTTTTCTATGCAAAATGTCCATTTAAAAGGTTTTGAAACATAATGACAGCCGCCGCAATAGTTTGCATTGAACACAATTTTAGTAATAGTTTCAAAAAAACGTATGTACTTATCATAATTTATTTAAACAAAAAAGCACAAAATCTCGTTAAAATGATTAATTTAGATTGCAATATAAAAAGAATGATTACTTTTTATATATTAAAATAACATATGCCTACAAAAATTATAGAAATATTATCTATTAAAATTGCGAAATCTTTAGATTAACTTAGTTTACTTTAAATCAAAAAAATTATTATCACATACAAATCGAATGCATTGCAAGAGTATATTTCGCTCATGTCTTACTTCTGATTCCAAAAGTTTTCCAAGTAGAGTATTTGGTTTAGTAGCCTTTAATTTTCTGTAGTCCAATCCAATTTTGCGCTTAAATTTTTTTTGGTTAACTGGAGTTCGTGTCATCCGACTGATTGAAGTTAAACACAAATCTTCTTCCTTTTTTTGGACTTTTGAGGGCATTAAATTTGTAGGCAAATTGGTGCCATTGCACGAATGCGAAATTGGTATTTCATCTGGAGCGTCATCAGTGTCACTAGTTAATTGTTTATCAGAACTATAATTTTTATTCTCATTTATCCTTTTCTGATTCGTAAGAGATTCTATACAAGAAGTGCTTTCTTTGCATGAATTTAAAATTAAAGTTTTATCCGCCATTTTATTGCAATCATTTTTAATTTGCAGTTTGTCTGTGGAAGTTTTTGTGCTATTATAAATATGTTCTTCATCCATTTCATAGTCAGAACTTGAATGTTCTACTGATTCGTCTTCGGAATGGTACATTCCAAGAAGTGTAGATAGAATGTTCGAACCTTTGTTTGTGTTTGAAACAGAGTGTGAATAATTATGAAGTTTGCTA